GAACGAAAGCGATTTTCATATTCTAATTGGAATTCCTTCCAAATCGTTGAGGAATTTCTTATAACCGCTTGCCTCTGTTAACGTTCCAGGTTATTCGAACACAATTTTAGCGAACAAGATAACTTTCTGAATGTTTTTTTGTTGTTGTTTTGTAGAATAATTTCACCATTAATTCGTGTTTATTGCAATAGTAGTTGTTTGTTTGTGAGTTTTTTGAAGACGGAAAAGATCATTAATGCCGGAGTTGACTGATTTTATTAGTTGCGCTCTTATTACTCCGGACACACCCTTCGCTCAATTCCGCTTCATAAATTTGGATTGATAACTCAATTTTAAGTCTTGTTTTGAAGTTGTTTTATATTTTGAGTGGTATCATAACAGTCTTATCGCAGGTATCATAACAATAACTGTCATTATTATTCTTGGTATTTTTTTGTTATTATTACAATAGTAATATATTATTAGTAATATTATTATAGTAATATAATAATATTATTATAGCCATAAGTATTATTGTTACAAATGTAATTTCTATTGTTATTGTGTCCCTCATTCACGTTATTGTTGTTAACAGTTTCGATTGTTGCTTTGAAATCATTGCATTTGCATCTGAAAGTGCGTGAAATTGGAATAATATCGGTCATTTTCTAGGAATTTAGTATCATTGTGAGTTCTTGACAAATTAGGATCGCTAATTAGAATTTTTTCAAAATTCTCATTTTTCTAATGGAATTTCCGATTTTTCGATATGTTCCAATAGTGTTTATCCACGAATCTAGTTCGTTGTTAAATGTATAATCCAATTCATGAGTTATTCATTGTGTATCTGGTTTATCGTTCATCTCAAATAATTTTATTCATGGCAGTTTCTCAAGTAATTATCTCAGAAACCGTACCATCGTTGTTAATATCCGTAGTAGTACTGTTTTATGTTCATGCGCTCTGTAATGTTGTCAGTAGGGTACTTATTGTTCAAGACATTTATCTGAGGTAATATCCAATACTACAGATGTTGTGTGCAGCATCATCCGTAATATTCCTTCTGTTGCTGCCAACAACTGGGTTTGCTCATGTGCGACTGATCTATCCGCCAGCGCGATATCCTGCACTAGACTACATCAGCAATCAGCACTCGACTTCACCGTGCGGTGTCACGAAACCTGCAAAAGGTTGGTGTTTTTCTTTTCGGCTGGTTCAAAACATCCATATATCCATATCCATATCCATTATCACTATCATTTTCCAAAACATCCATACAATTGTCACTATCATGACTGTAGTCGCAATCACTGTCACAGTGGCTAGCGCAATTGGTAGATTCGTTATCACTGCTGACATTTTCGACATCCGACTGAGTATTGTGATGGGTATTAAGGGCTCAGTTTAGTATT